TTTTTTTTTTTTTTGGTACCAGGGATCAAACTTGGGTCCTTGTGCTTTGAAGGCAGGCGGTGGAACCACTGAGCTAAATCCCCGGCCCTCTCACCAAACTTTTAATACAGCTTGCACTTTGTGTTAAATCTAATGTTTGGTGCCCAGAAATATAACCCGGAAACATTGTGTTTAATCCCATCTCCAGCATCACCTCCCCACCCGGACGGGATGTTTGCTGTTACATTTCGGCTGCTCCAGCAGCTTCCTCATCCTCGAGACAGGAGCGTCTCCGGGAAGACCCAGAACCCTGTGTTTGCCCCCCATACACATATATGTATTTCATAGGCAAGAAAACCCGGTTTTGAAACCGTTTATCTCATTCCAGAATTCTTTGAGGGGGGGTGGGCCGGGTACCGGGGATCGAACTTGGGTCCTTTCATTCCAGAATTCTAAGGAAAGACCTTTGCTAACAGCAGCATCTCTTGTTTTGTCTTCCTGACCCCTAGCTGTGCGGTCTGAAGGTGGAAGTGGATATGGAGAAGATCGCAGCGGAAATCGCCCAGGCCGAGGAGCAGGCCCGCAAGAGGCAGGAGGAGAGGGAGAAGGAGGTGGCCGAGCAGGCGGAGCGCAGCCAGGGCAGCCTGGCCCCCGAGGAGGAGCCCGCGGCCGGCAAGGCTGAGGAGAAGAAGGACGACGAGAGCATCCCGATGGACACAGGTAGCAGGGCGTGGGCCGGGGCGCTCCACGAGTTGGCCTCCTCTTTCTGTGGCTGGCGGGTGGGATTGAAGCCAGAGCCTTTGCTGAGCGATGGCCGAAGCCCCAGGGTTTTCTCTTTGCTGCTGCTGAGGAGTGGAGCCCCATGCTGGACTTCCCCGGAGTCGGTTACTGTCCAGGCCCCTCGACTCCGGGGAGCTGTTGCGCCTCATTTCCTCTTTGGAAGCACTTTACTGCCTGCCTCTCGGAGCGCGTTTTGGTGCTCGATCCGACACAGTGTTTGCGCTTGGTGTTTCAACCTTCCTTACTAATGTTGTTTACATCAGACCCGGTCGTGGTCCTTAAGACTGCTTGCTGTCCTGGGATAGCGTCTGGCAAGGTAAAGCCTTCAAGCCAAACCCACCCACCGCCTCTGTTGTCGCCTTACTGAAGCACAGCCCTGCCAGTGTGTTTGCATGTTAGACATGGCTACCTGCAGGCCACAGCAGCAGAGCTGAGTAGATTGAGTAGATTGGACAAAGACTGCCAGCTCTATCCTAGAAAAACATACTTCCAGGTGCACCGATTGTGCTGAGCCAAAGCATCCCTTGGGTGAGCATGCGTGTAAAGCTCACGTTCACTCCCGGGCAGGCTGATAGCTGCCTGGCACTGCATGAGGCCCTGACCTTCCGGCACTGTTCCAGCTGCACAGGACGGAGGCGAAGTTTGGGGGACACAAGCAGAGGCTCCTGACCATGGGGGGCGGGTAGCCACTCTCTGTGCTCAAGTGACAGCTGTCTAGAAAGCATTACATGGAATAGAACCATTTCTGCCAGGCACTTCTACAGAATTTAATTCAGCAGATTCACATTTCAGATAATCAGGCTTTAAGTTCCATCACCTGAGCCTCTTTCTATTTTTTATGAGCGTGTTTTTACCTTACATTTGACACATGCGCACATTTTTTTGTGGTTGAAGCAAGAATTTGAGAATCCAGCTAAGGCTCTTTGCTCATTTTGCAGCTAGACAGCACGCGGTCCTTTGCGCTGTCCTCTCATCTTTACAGGGACTGCGTTCTGCAGGCCCGTGGGTCCTCAGCTCCGGGCTGACAGCGCGAGGGGAAAATGAAGAAAACCCAGGCCTCGGGCAAAAACTTGATGCTCTGAATTTCTTATGGGAAGCAACCCAGCATGCCTTTCAGCAAAGCATCCCAAATCCCAGCTTGATAGTTTCCACACTTGCTTTCTCAGCTAACCCAAAGTACTGCCAGAGAGCAATCTCCAAGTCAGATATATAATTACAACTTTTCTACTAGTGACATTTTTAACTTAGGCAAATGAAGTGAAATTAATTTTAATGATATTTTAGTTAACACAGCATGTCCTAAATAGTCACCATGTTAATCAGCGTCTTTAAATGGGCATTTTTTCATTTTGATAGTCATTGAAATGCAACGTTTAGTCGGCATTTAGGCTTGAGAAACTTAGAGCCGAGAAGCAGCTTCTCGTACCCTGGGTTGGCCCAGATGCGTGTAAGCTTCCTCTGTCTCCCTGGCTCCTGCAGGGCACCTCAGCCGCGCTGAACTGGCTGGTGGCTGCCCTGTGGGACAGCGCAGGGCAGTCTGTCCCAGGAACTGACGGGACAGATATGTGATTGCAGAGGAGACACACCTTGAAGAGGCCACGGAGAGCCAGCAGAACGGGGAGGAGGGCACGTCTACGCCCGAGGACAAGGAAAGCGGCCAGGAAGGCGTCGACAGCATGGCGGAGGAGGGGACCAGCGACAGCAACACCGGCTCAGAGAGCAACAGCGCCACCGTGGAGGAGCCACCCACAGACCCCCTCCCGGAAGACGAGAAAAAGGAATAAATGTTGCCTTGTTTTATGTGTCCTAAATACTTTTTTAAATGAAAAATGTTTTTTTGGTTTTCATGGTGTTGCGTGGTCTATGTATTCATTTTTTCTTGTCCATATCACACCACCAAAGGCTTTTGGACCATGAGCGTCAGAGCCTAAGGCACAGCCACCTTTCTGAGGTTGTGAAGATGACTCTTGTCTTTGGAATCTGTCGCTGGCCCTCGACTGCTGAAGGCCTTGGAATCTACATTGAGAGACACCACCTCTCCGGAGTTACCTTCGATGCTGCAGAACCTCCTTACAATGCCTTCTCAGCTCACTCGGTGCTTACCAGAGCCATAGCTTTAAACCTGCCCCGTCCCCTCCTGTGACCCGAGAACACAGTTGTGCAGAGGCCGGTGTGTTTGCTTCCCCTTTTGGCTTTTAGTCCCTGTTGGGTACGTAGAGCTGTGTTACGGGGTAGAACACAGCCGGCGGCAAACTGCACTTGGGTGGTCCTGACCCAAATGCGGTGTCTGCCTTCAGGGTAGTCACTGGCTGGTGGAGTAGTCATGGAGTGAACACAGCTCACACAGTCTGCTGCTTTTTGTTCTAATTAATATTGGGTACACGTCCCTTTTTTTTGGTATCGGGGATCGAACTCAGGACCTTGCACTTGCGAGGCAGGCGCTGTGCCTCTGAGCTACATCCCCAGCCCCAATTCATTCATCCTTATTGTACAGGGGGAAATTTTTTTTTTAAACCAGGTTTTCCAAAGACAGAATAGATCACAAGTATTCTCTTAAGGAATGGAACATTCTTACAACGGACTAGATAACTTGAAAATGATTAGCCTATTCCAGAAGAAAAACAGCTGGGAATTTAGTTTGTCTGCTTGAAATTGTTTATAATCAAAACATTCAAAACCTCAAGGCTCAGGATCCCACAGATCAGAGCCAAACTTTTTGATAAACTCTTAGTAAGTCTTGGAGACTAGAAGCAAGATAGTTTGTGACATGTATGCGTCCTAAAAACTAGAATAGATTTTTACTGAATAGTGGTATATCTGATGGTCTATGTTTCTTAAAGGTTCAAATGTAATAAAAAAATGAAAAAAATGGTCTCGGCGTTTTTAATGCACTGAGTATTTATAAGCAAGACAAGCATGGGGTTTTGTCTAAGCCGGTGATGGCAGGGAGCGGCCACTGGCAACCGGGAGGAATTTGCTTGCTCACCCCTCATCTTGCCCTGCTATTTCTGTATGACACTGCGGTGGTAAGTTCATCTGTACAAAACACCTGCAGAAGTTTCCCTTACGACAGTCATGTTACTCATGGAGGCTGTGAAGGGAAGATTTGCACATTAACATGAACATGATCTTAAAAGCATGATGAAATCGTGCACGCCCTGAGCTTGCAGGGAGGCACGCTGCCCCGGAACACCTGGCTGTATGGTGGGTTCCCTGTCCATGGGCACGTGGCACTGTGAGTGACTGACCCTGTGTCCAGTCCCAAGAGGAGCAGAGCGGAATGGGGCAGAAACACCCTCTGACATCTGCCTTGCTAGGTAACGAGGAGCCGCTCTGGTTCACTAGTCCGAGAACCTTCAGATAGGCCTGTTTCTAGGAGTCGGTTAGGAACCCACGAGGTCTCTGCCCCTCCTCTTCGGTGTGCTCTCCAGCGGCCACAGGGGACAGAGCCGTTCAGAGCGAGATGGAAGCAGAATGAAAGCACTTCCTTGGCCGAGCTGGACACGGATGGAAACGAGTCTAGACCGAGCCTGCAGCACAAGGCCAGACACAGTGGCTGGAGGACTTAGGTCAGAGGGGACTTGACAGCATTTAACCTCAGGGGAAATGGGATCAAAATTCTCCTTTGTTGGAGAGATGCATGCGGACCTGGATGTTTCTTAATTATGAGAATGAGGATATGACAGTCTTGATTTCTTTTTCCATATCCCCACAGGCACTGGGCAAGTAGCTTAAATTCACAGCTTGTGTTCAACCCTAAAATAGATTGAGCCACTTCTATGATTTTTAGTGCAGCTGGGTGGGAGTGTGTAGTTTGAGGGCTTACATTTTATTCGTTTGTAACAAGTCAGATGGGAATTCTATAGCTCCTCAGTTTTCTTCCAGAAATTTCAAATTCCTTAACTTGCCCCATCAGTCCGCTTCCCCCCACATACATTTTTCATTGACTCCTGCCGTGTTTGGTCATTCTGCGGTCTGGTGTGGCATAGTGGTGTTTGGGGCATCGCAGGACCTCATACAGGACGGTAGTCCCATAAGTTTTTTTTTTTGGTACCAGGGATCGAACTCTGGACCTTTCGCTTGCGAGGCAGCCGGTGGAACCACTGAGCTAAATCCTAGCCCTAGTAGTCCCATACGATTACAATGGAGTTTTCAAATTCCCATCACCAGGAATATTTACTGCAGCTTTCCTGAGTGTGAACACAAATGCTTAGCATCGCGTTCCGGTTGCCCACAGGATGGGGTGCAGTCACGTGCTGGGCAGCATTGCATGCTAGGAGCAGCCGGCTGTGGGTGGCAAACCTGTGGCACGCGCGCCACAGCTGGCTGTTTGTTATCATTGAAAGCCCTAAAACGTTTGCCACCGCTGAGCCCATGTAGTCTAGCTGTGCAGTGGGCGGGGCCATGTACGTGTGAGTGAGTCCACTCTGACATTCACACCACAACGATCTGTTTCCCGGAATGTGGCCCCATTACTAAGTGACCCAGGGAGGAGTAAACAGGAGCGATCTCGTTTTAACACAGGATGTGAATGGCATATGGAAAAAAGCAGAGGTTAGAACAACTCAAAGGGGATTCTGAGATCATCGTGGTAATGGACTGAAGATGAGGCAGAGCCAGATTTTCCACTTTGATCCTACATTTAGATACTAATTCGGATGTTACACAGTGGGAGCCGATAGTGTGAAACTCCTACAGCCTGCCATTAAATGGAGGCTTTGGTTTTTCATGTGAACAGGGAATGAAGCTGGAATTATACATTTAAAATCCGCACTTCAGAAATAATTCCCCTCCTACTGCCAAGTGCTACCTCACATGCAGTCTCCCCGCCTGGCTTCAGCCCCTGCGTGCTGTTGTATCTTCTTGTTCACCTCTGGCCAAAGCTTTCTGGAACAACAACAATTGACTTCTTAATGAGTCGCACATTAAAGGGCTTCACATCTTTGCAAATGATGTACTTTTGTACGCTGTGCCGGGCTCTTTTAGAAGAAATCATGCTGAATGATAATTTGACCGACCCACCGTGGTGATGTTTCTTTGATCAGTATGGTAAGGAAAGCGCTGAGTTCAGTAGAAAACACTAAGTCCATCTGTAATCCTAAGACTATTTATAAGTGTCTTGCTGTTACATAGCTTGAACCATATGAAATGGCCAATGTAGATTTTTATCCACAAAAATGACCATTTTGCCAGGTTCAGACTAATAATTCTACATCTTATACCTCACGTATAAGCTCTTAGGAGCTTTCAGAATGTAAAATGTTGGAAATTGGGTTTTACCAGACTGATCTACACTTCTCTAGTACTTTCACTGCACAGAAACAACACCTAATTAAAATGCAAATTCCAAACTATCAAGAATCCAGTAGCCTGATTTTTAAAATATTCTGTGGTAGGGCCGGGGATTTAGCTCAGTGGTTCTGCCGCCTGCCTCACAAGCGCAAGGACCCAAGTTCGATCTCCAGTACCAAAAAAAAAACAAAACAAAATATTCTGTGGTAGACATATAGCTCGGCTAGCTGGCTTACGTTCCCGTTGTCTCACTTAGCACCAGAAAAGTCTCTTTGCATGTATTTAGGAATGGAATACACGTGCTCATGTGGAGAGGGGAAATTCCAAATGGCAGCAAAGACATAAAACTGAGACAGTAACTCACAGATAATATGTGAAGAGCTGCTTGAAAGGCAGGAAAGGCTGCCCCAGACTCTGGGCATTTGGGGGGGACAGAGGGCCCTGGGTCATCACCTCCTACACCCACCCAGCCATTGGCCCCCCTGGGCATCATGCTCTGGGGAAATAAATCCCTCTAGTCTCTCGAGACAGCTCATTCCTTCCTTAGTTAACTTAAAGTATTTCCTTTCATTGACCTGCAGTCAGACCTCCTAAGATTGTAGCCTCCTGTTTACGTACCCCGAAGTCACACAGAACAAATGCAATCCTCTTCTGAGTAATGGATCTTCAAATATTTCAAAACACGTGGCCCTTGAGTTCCATTTCCGTGCTTGTGGTCCTTCAGCTTCTCCACCAAGTGTCTTTTCCTGGTGAGCTAAGGCAAGGGAGGGCAATGCCTCTGACATCTGAGGTCTAGAGCAGTAGAAAGCACTGTTTTCTGCAATATGGTCGAATCAGAGCTCCTCCCCATCTACTCTGCTTAATCAAAGGACCACATCTCTAGACCTCGGAAACCAGCTAAACTCGGGGTTGCCCGACGGTGATTGCAGGTTCTATGCAACACAAAGATTTTATGACCACATTATAGACTCGAACCCCGTGGAATGAATGTTGATGGATATTTTCATATAGAGCAAAATGAGAAACAAGCAGGTTTGATTTCACTAACTTGGTACTTCTCCAAGCTGGGCCATTTGCATACCACCATCATGATTTGCCATTTCTGGGTATCACCAGTGCTATTATTACTTCACAGCTTTCTTTGAATTATTAGTATCTTCTCCTTTTTTATTTTACAAGGAAACTTTATATCAGCATAAATGAGCTATTCTTGTCTTCTCTCATAAAAGAAATCCTAAGCACAAATATTTTAGACATTATGCTTATGCTTAAATACATGTTTTTTGGGGTTTTTTGTTTTTTAGGGGGTTTTTTTGGTACCAAGGATCGAACTCTGGTCCTTGCGCTTGTGCAGCAGGCAGCAAAACCACTGAGCTAAATCCCTGGCCCAACATGCTATTTTTTATTGTTGTTTTGTTTTGTTTTGTTTTGTTGAGACAGACTCTCTTACATAGTTCAGGCTGACCTTGAATTCACTGTGTAGCCCAGGCTGGCTTCAAACTCATGGCAATCCTCCTGCCTCAGCCTCCTGAGTGCTGGGATCACAGCTGTGCACCGCC